CACACACTATCTCCAGTCACTACAGCAGAGACCAGAGATGGGCTAAGGATCCTTCCCACTTAATCATTGATTTTATGATGACGTCAGCAATACTAGTCCGGTTTTGTACACGGCAGCTATATAGCTGACTGTCTTTTGCTTTCGTCTACGTGTTATCATCTAAGTGTTAATGTATACAAAGGTTCTTTTATTTTGGCTAAACATTTTTGGGTATGTGCCCGCAATATCTTTACATATTTCAACCCACTTCCACAGCCAGTCTATTTTTTTCAGTCATTTTTTAAAAAGCTTTCCATTTTGTTCCATCTACCTGCGCTTTTTTTCTCTTTCATCGCGCTCTAAGTGAATTCTCGGATCAATAACAGCGATGATCTCAAGTTTTCAAGACACAGCGGAGGTCGCACAATGGTAGACATCATAGTATCCATTTACCAAGAACATGGAATACATATTCAATTTATAGTCTCAGATCTGCAAGAAAAAAAAGGCGAAAGAGGCTGGGTTGTCTGTCAAATTCTACTTCCATATATACAGTTATAACTTCATGGGGAGAGGACAGAGAATTTTAACACTCTCTCTTTCTCTTTCTCTACACACATACATACAGAGAGAGAGAGAGAGGGGGAGAAATGCACACACACACACACACACACACACACGCACGCACGAATGCTGATGAATTGGACCGGTCTAGTGAATACCTTCTATCACTGTAGTTACAAGACAGTGCCTGGTTCGCAAAAACATTCCATAGATTATGAATGCTGCTTACTGGAGACAAGACAGTGAAAGAACTGACTCTATTTTTATAACGATGCAGCCCTATGATCATGAAAAAAAGAGTACAACGTATCCCGTTTCGCCCAAATCCAAAAACCTGTCAGATCAAACAACTCTATAGCTACTAGCTTCATAATTAAGACATCTTGTGGTTTTTTCCTTGCTGTGACAACAAAAACAGTTTTAATAACAATAAAAAAACAGCCCCAGGGGTGAACGATAAATGAGGAGCATGGTTTTATCTTTTTAAAAAGTATCAATAAAAGAACCGATCGGATATCTACAGAACATTGATACTTGTCGATTCAAACTGTGGTAACTTGAACTCGCGAACAAGAAGTCTTACTGACTGACTGTTATTGATTATAGCATGGGTAACATAATTCGTGTTTTTACACGTAAGAGGATGGATCTAATTAATATATCGCATCACTTCATCTGTCAAATTATGACAGCACAGAAAGTAGAAAAAACTCAGGCACGGCGTCGAGTTGCTAAACAGGCAATCAAATATTTTAACCCTACCCTGAGAGTCAGGGCTCAATAGAAACTCGCCTCCATCATCTACTGTACATACTTCTAGTGTTTCCGGTATCCAGATTCCAACTATGTCATTTCTAATATCAACACTGGTGACAGAGGCGAGTTCTCAGTGACCTCTGAAACTCAGGGTACTTAATGCCTACCCTCAGGGTGAATCACTGTGACCAGGAAGAGCACTTTAGACTTCCTTCCTACATCTAGATCGACTTAACAGGATCGATCCATCTGCGAGGGGTTTCTCGCTAAATTGCTTTCAGCTTAAGCGGCTTAGATGTCTGGCACGCCTACTGAAGCTGCTAAACGATAATTTTAATTACCCCCTAGCAGCTTCAGTGGGCGTGATAGACATCTAAGCCGCTTAAGTTGATTGCAATTTAACGAGAATCCGTTGGGAGTTAGATCGATCCATTGTTAGCGCGATAGGGTCTGGGAATGGTACCTCAAAGTCAGTATCTGACAGATCTTCCGTGAGCCAATGTGGGATATCAGCTGTCTATCTGAAATAAATACCTGGCACCGCTATAACAAAACGTCACGCCTTCGCACACAAAAACTATCACCTAACGACTTACACCGTTTTAAACAATAATTTGTAAACACGCAGGTTTTACGACTACTCTTTTTTCTTGATGGCGGTTCATACGGGGGTCATGGGGTGATTTTCACACGATATTCAATTGAAAATCTGCAACCGTAGGGGAAGAGAAAAAAATTTGTTGCGTTGTTGTCATAGCAAATTTCTCAATTCCCGCCTCTCATGCTCTTTGGTGGGAGACTTTATCCGTCTGTCTGTCTGTCTGTTTGTCTGTCTGTCTGACTGTCTGTCTGTTTGTCTGCTCGTCTTTGTGTTTGTATGTCTGTCTTTCTATCTGTTTACATAAATAATTACTGAATTGTTTGCTCATTTCAGATAATAACTACAAGCAGTAGCCCAACTCTGATCGCGCGATGTCGACCAAGTCGCATTCCTGCCGTCACATAGTGGAGTGAGCAACAAAGAATTAAATGAATTTCCAGAAAAGTCTGTTATTTGAAATTCCACAAATGTTTTCTGAATTCACGCAGGCAACTATGCGACAAAAGGGTAGCATAAAAATGATAAAAATATAGAGTTGAGGCTTTCAACAGGAAAATATGAAAAAAAACTTTGGTCGACGTCATCTGAATGCCGTGCTCTCACATCTTGACAGTCACCCAGTTAACATGTCACCTTCAAATTTAGCGTCTAATGGGGCACCCTCAGTAACCGACAGAGTGCAAAAATGTGGAAAACATATCGCCATTTAAGGACAAGACAGGCCCGGTCCTGAGTTGAGTTATGACAACTGTCAGAGATACTGCCACCCTTTGACGGTGACATGTCATCCTCAGTGGAATCCAACCCAAATATGTAATAGTAATAGTTATTTGTAACCATAAGTTAGATGGTACATGCATAATACTAAAAAAAAAGGTAATTCTAAGAAAAACATATTAGACATTATATCTTGTTATTATTATAATCTTGTTCACGGCGATATTTTGTTTCAGTAGTAACACCTGGGTTTAAAACCCTTAGAATGTTGCGGCCTAAACTTACTCTCAGGTTAGGGAGGTGATTTTTTTTTTATTTTGCCTCCAAGAGGACATCCATTTTTTAGATTTTTATACCGATCCACAATCTGACTATTCCAGATTTCGACCTCTCATTCTTTACTTCAGCGTCAGCTTCAGAGAAATTCCAAACACACAAAGTTTTGTTTGGACGAAGGAACACGAACAGAAGATTAGAATCTAGATGAACATCTTTGGAGATCACAGCAACAGGTAAATGGACAGAGTTTTTTATATATTGCCGGCGTGTGGAGTCGCAAGTGCGGGACATGATGAAAGTCGTCACACCAACTGTTAAAGGCAACCCATCACTCACACTAAATTAGACAGCTTAGGATAATAGATGGGATTTGAAAAAAGAAATAAAAAACTAAGGATATGAGACGAAAATGAA